CAACCAATTACTGGACCATCAAAGGAGATGATCTCCCTATTCCAACTACAAAAGAATAAGTGAAGCCACCCAGGGAGGTATTTGAGAATAAGAAACTAAAATTTTCCAGGAATGTTTACTGATTTTGGGTGCCTAACTTGAAACACCTTTCTGTCTGATCTTCCCAAGTGGTAAAGACCTGCAGCTCCCCTCGATTTGGGCACTATGAGTGCTCATACATCTCGGTAAAAATAGCTTCCTGGGGTTATAAAGAAACTTCTCCTATGGACAGGTTAGTCTGTAATTGTCTGTTATAGGAAATCGCTAATGCTATCAGCTGTCGTCAGATGGGATACTGGACCAGTGGTCCGACTCGTTAAGGCTTTTTTCCATCGTAGCATAGGAGATGCCTTCATGCCACAATCACTCCAATGTGATAATTACATATTCTTTTAAAATTCGCCTCCCAGGGGCCTGACTCAGGGTACACTGAGGTAAATGGAAAGACTCCTGTTGCTTTAATGGAGGTTGGATCAGGCCACATAGGCCTAGGAAAATGTGAAATACAAAAAGACGTTGGAATCCTCTTCTTTTTCTTCAGAACATCCAGGTGGCTGCAACTAGCCTGGCTTTTTCCAGAAATTATTAATGCTGATCTCACGGGCAAAGGTGATTACTCAGGCACTCCCTTGCTCCGGGATCTGAACATACAGCCTTGCAAGTACTCCCATCCCCAGGATTCACCTCAAGCTGCATGACTGTCTCCTAGGCATACCCTTGATCTATTATGTCATGTTTATCCCCCTGGCCCTACAACTCGGATAACTAGAAGCACGTGGTACTTTAAACCCTACTCAATGCTACCTGTGCCTCTGATACAATACTATAACTGTTGCCAGTGTCTCATAGTGGCGAGCTCATGGAGAGAAAGGGGGCGAAGGGGTAATGGCCAAGGGAGAGAGAATAGGTCAGGGAACAATGGAGGAGATGACGAAGGGGAACAGTAGAGAAAAGAAGAGAGACAGTGGGATTGTCCAATTTGTAGGAAGGAACAAGGTTGTAATAGTTTTGCTCGCAAAAATCTGTCTCGCTCTTGTAAGGGTCTCACTCTGTACTATTCAAGCAAATTTCTTGAAATGAATCCTGCCTGCCTAATCTGCTTCTGAGATAAGAACCATTTGTCTAACACTAATACTTAATTTAAGACACAGACATGCATTTGTGTGGGTGTATTCCAAACCAATAATAGCCCACGACTTATTTGCATCTTCAATGTGGAAAAGATTTTAAGAACAAAAAACTCCCATATAAACTCACTTCTACTCCATAAAATTGACTTTTAAATGTAAAAAAGGAATTCCGAACACTTAACACATTCTGCTTCATTCCAGAAAGTAAATTTATGAATATGATATTTTGTGGTGATCTTTTAAATAAAAGAAAACATTAAGTAAAAAAAAAAAAAAGGGGGACTGAATATGGCATGGCAAGTCCCCTAACTATCAGAGATGCTTGCAGCTTTATCCATCTTGCTCTCTGAAACATTCTGGTGCCACCTAGCTGCATATAGAGATTTGTCAAAGAAAATTCTAATTGTCTTTCCTATACTATGATTTGCCGATTCCCTGGCAAGAATCTAACCGTGCAGAACTGTACTTAGAAGTAGACAGTCAATATTGATATGAATCTAGGCTGAAATCATTTGCCTTCCCTGTAATTATAGTGTTTTGTTCTACAGGTAAAGATTCTGACATACAGCAAAGGAATTAACTTCTAAGCATCTGTTCATTGCAATGCAGTATGTGTTTGTTCCGAAACACTGCACTATATGCTTTATATAGTCACTTGATCCATGAAATGATTGGTAGACTACGTCCTGGGTTGGCCTCTGGTGGCCAGTTTCCAAGTACCCATAATAACACTTAACCGTGGAACAATCTGTTAATTCTATGTGTATTGTTACTCTTGGAGCAATGACCTAAATGAATTTTACATTATCTTACTAATTAGGAATAGTTTGTCGTAGTCAGATGATAAAAAAGTATATTTCATATTAACATGTCTCAATGCCTTACAGACTTAATATATTTATAAATGGAGGCGCTGGTCCTGCAAACTTTGATGCCTAAGAGTAACTTTACACATGTGAATAACCCCACAGATATCCAGAGGAGTAGGTGGGTGAGTAAAGTTACTCACCTGCATAGGTGTTTCCAGGATTGGCACTTAAATAGCAAAGAATGATTACAGAATATGTATCATACAGAATATAGTTAAAGACTCAAAGTTAAAAAGATTTAATCAAGTATGTAAGACTACTCATTTTACGCTGCCGAATTCAAGGGACTCTCAGTACAACTTGTATAATAACTGAATGCCTGGGATTATTAAATCAGCATTACAAATCTAATTTCCTTTTCACCATTTAAGCTATTACTTTTCTTTCTCTTATGATACTCAGCTAAGATAGTGGGGGAAATAGGCAGTTTCACTTTTGTTTCTGTTCTTCTATGTTTCACTTTCAGCTTCTCAGTACAGTGCAGACACAACAGGAGAATGTTTAAAACGGAAACGGCTGTTTCCATTAAAATTAAAAAAGCTTTCAATTTTTTTAAGTTTTGCAACTTTTTTTCAATGCAGAATCTAAATTTGGGCCTAAATATAGTTGAAAGGGCCCCTTTAGCCTTAAAGAGAACCTGAGAATTTTACTGAATTTCCAGATTTGTTGCATTTTCTGTAATTGTTTCCTCTGATACATATCTACATACTAACTTTTAAAATTTTCTCCAGTTTTTACTGAATAGCGTATGCCTTAGGTAGCACAACTCCTTGTTTCTAGTTAACTATAAATGTTCTGTTTCTGTCACATTTCAGAAAGCTTCCCAGGCTCTTGTGAGGTCGCCTTGTTGAACCTGATCCTGAAAGATGCCAAGCACTTAAAATTCTCATTGATTTCAAAAAAGAAAAGGAGTACTTGTGGCACCTTAGAGACTAACCAATTTATTTGAGCATGAGCTTTCGTGAGCTACAGCTCACTTCATCAGATGTCTACTTGTGGCACCTTAGAGACTAACCAATTTATAAAACCAAAAAATAAATTGGTTAGTCTCTAAGGTGCCACAAGTACTCCTTTTCTTTTTGCGAATACAGACTAACACGGCTGTTCCTCTGAAACCTGTCATTGATTTCAGTCCATCGGGTCCTTAAAATGCATTCTCCTGCTTGTACAGGTTTGTGACCCTATATTGTCTTTCTTTAGGCTCAGTGTGGTGTTCACCTGCAGCTTAGCTAATATAGAAGGACAACCAGCTAGATGTGGTCTAAGGTTCTCAATGCTGCAAATACTAACACATACAAGTAACTTTACTAATGCAGCCAGTGTGGTCAAATTCAGTGGTGCTACTCTCAGTAGTAAGCACCATGCCTGGTAATATTTGCAGGACTGAGACTTATAAGAAGGACGCACAAGGCCCAGTGGCAAACTTGTAGCGTAGGGTTTTTAATAATGAAAATTATCATTCAAAATTCCTTAAACAATTATCAAAGCAATAGTGACTCAAGAGTAAATCCACCAACAGGCTTGTAGTGATTGCAGCATATCATTTAAACATTCTTGTGTTTAAGGACAAGATCTGCCATCCGTTTCACTCTGGCTTTTGTGGTTCATTAGGCCACATGAGGCATTTACCTGGGCGTTGCCACCTCCCTCTCAACCCATAAAAGCCTCTCACCTGAGTTTAGTGGTGCTTTCAGCCAGAGCTAGCTCGTTCAGAGAGGGGGTGGATTAGAGCCTGAATTCTGCTTTCACTTAGGCAGGTAACCCGCCCACTTTGCAGTATGGACACAAGTTAAACCACTTGAGTTCTCAGTCCTCCAGTGCCATCCCATAATTCCCCCCGTGTGCCCAGAGGGACGGACGTGTTCTCCCACAATTCACTGGGAAACAGCAGCTCAGCGTACTGTTGCACAAAGAACCATGGGATGTGCCCCCAGAAGGCTAGGGGAGCGCAGCACCAGTGCGGACACAGTCACTCGGGTAGGGCATTACAGGGCGGCTGCTCACACCAGGGCTAAGCTAACCTGGGTGCTGATCACCTGAGCTAACTCTGCAGCTCAAACAAGCCAGAGGAGTCTGAAATCAGAGTCTTCACTGTTCACTTGAGTTCTGCTGTCTGCCAAATTGTGTGTTCCAAGTCACAAATAGTCCACACTGGATGTGGCATTTGGCCACAAAAAGGAAAAGTAACTAAATGGCTAGAATTAGCTGCATGCTGCTGCCTTTCCCCCAGGCAGACTGTGGAGCTAGTTTTGGACACCAGGAAAAACGTACTACTGATGGAATATGTTAATAATTCTGCAAACCTGGGTGATGAGAGACAAAGGATGAGGCAGGGGTGGGCAAACTACAGCCTGGGGACCACATCCAGCCATCCAGATGTTTTAATCCGTCCCTTGAGCTCCCACCGGAGAGCAGGGTCCGGGGCTTGCCCAGCTCTGGTGCTCCAGCCAGGGGCTTGCCCCACTCTGCGCAGCTCCTGGAAGCAGCAGCATGTCCCCCTTGCCCCCGCCCCAAGCGCTGCCCCTGCGGCTCCCATTGGCCAGGAACTGCGGCCAGTGGGAGCTGCGGGGCGGTGCCTATGGACAGAGCTGTGTGCAGAGCCACCTGGCTGCACCTCCGTGTAGGAGCTGGAGGGGTGACATGCCAGTGCTTCGGCAAGCTGCTTGAGGTAAGCGCCACCCTGAGCCTGCACCCCTGATCCCCCTCCCATACTCCAACCCCATGCCCCAGCCCTGATCCCCCTCCGTCCTCCAAACCCCTCAGTCCCAGCCCAGAGCCCCCTCCTGCACCTACAACCCCTCATCCCCAGCCCCACCCCAGAGCCCTCAGCCCCAGCCGGAGCCCTCACCCCCTCTGTACCCCAACTCCCTGCCTCAGTCCGGAGCCCCCTCCTGCACCCTGAGCTCCTCATTTCTGGCCCCACCCCAGAGCCCTCACCCCCTCCCGCACCCCAACCCCCAATTTCGTGAACGTTCATGGGCCACCATACAATTTCCATACCCAGATGTGGCCCTCGGGCCAAAAAAACTTGCCCACCCCTGGGCTGAAGTTCAGCATTCCTCTGGCTCTTATTTTACTTAAAAGACAGATCATGTTGCAGAGGAATGGTGGGAGGGTCCCAATAATTGTGCGGGGTTTTATTTGGAAGTAGGGCAAGAAAGAGGGGATTGAATCTTCAAGCCATGAAGGGGCCCATGATGTTTTTTAGCAGATTAACCCAATTACATTTCTGAAGTTAGCCGGGAAAAGTCATTCATGGCAGATGCTGTCATCAGTCGTGTAATGCGGCGAGGCCAGACATGGGTAAAGCCTGCAGTTCCATCCTCTTACCATCAGCCCCTTCTCCAACCGAAGACATGACCGTACACAAGGCCCAGTTGCTCTCTGGTGAACCTTCGGAGAAGATCTGTTATGCAAAGAAAAGCCAAAACATCAGGCTGTAGCCACTTGCAGGGCCCAATCCAGCCCCCTTTGAAAGAAGTAGAAAGACGGCCACTGATTTCAGTGGGAGTTGGCGCAGACCGTAGGGCACTGAAGGACTTGCTGGGCACGCTCAATAGTCTCCTGCTGTCATTGCTAGGAGTCTGAGGACTGCTTTTGTATCATTATCACTGTCAGTTAGCAGGGTGAATCTTGTTTGCTGGTACAGTTAAAGCAGTACAACCGCTCAGTGTGGCTGCAGTTATATATAAGTGGGTTTTACACTATTAGCTCTGGTCTTCGCTTAATATTTAGATTGACATAGGTACGTCGGTCAGGGGTGTGAGGGCTGTAACTGAGCTGACCTGACCTGCCCCCCAGTAGATGCAGCTATGTCAACAGAAGAACGGTACCGTCACTCAGGGAGAGGGTGTTCCTATAGCAACGGAAAACCTCTTCCATTGGTGTAGGTTGTGGGGTGATGCTGGCATGGCTCCCAGCCCCCCAGATCCCTTCCCTTTGAAAACTGCCTCCACCTCCTGAAAACTGCCCCCGAATCCTGCCCCCCTGTAAAATGTTCCCCCTTCCTCCCAAAACTGCTCCCCAGATCACCCTCCCCCCTGCAAGTGGCCCCACTCCCGCCAGTCTCTGTCACTAGGGGCATGCACCGCTGGCCCCTCTCCCAGTGCTTAGCTTCGCCGGTGTCAGCTGCTCACCCGGGATTGCTGCCCACAGACAGGCCAGGCTACTTGGAGAGAGGTAACCACCCTCGGGTGGGCCTGAGTGGGAGGGGGAGCGGCCTCCGGGGAGTGAGCCAGGCCCGCAGTTGAGGGGAAGGGGAAGCCCCCCACTGCTGCCTCATCTCCTCCAGTCTCACCCTTCTCCTTCCTTAAGTGCTCTCACAACCAGCCTCCCTCAATGTCCCCTGCCCCCTCAGCCCTACCCCCAAATCCCAGGCTCCACCCACACTCTCAGTCCTGAGCCCCTCGGCCCTACTCCCAACCCCCCTGGCTCCTATCTCCCCCAAACTCAGCCCCCTTGTGCCCCCAACCCTACCTTATCCATCCTATCTTCCCTCACCCACACCTTTCAACCCTACCCCAACCCCCTTAGTCCCCATGCCTCCACACCCAAACCACTTAGCCCCCCCATGTGCCCCACTCCCAGTCTCCAGGCCCCCCTCAACCATAGCCTCCCCCGCCCAAGGACCCCATCTCCCCCCCCACACCCCAACTACCTCTCACACCCTTCTTCTTTTGCCCACCCAGCCCCACATACCTATCTTCCCAACCCTCTTTCAGACCTCGTTCCCTCAATTTCTTTCCCCCGTCCCCACCTCGTCCAGTGAACCCCTACGTCCAGTCCCCAGCCCCAAACAGATCCCAATTCATTGGCATTGGAAGCCATCTTCCCAGTCTTCTTTCACACACAGTCCCAATCCCGCCTCTGCCCAGGTTGACTTTTGCTTGGCCAGTGTCACTCCGGAAGGTTGTGGCAGAGCTGGGGACCTTCCTATCGGAAGGAAGAGCACAAATATTCTCTGCAGCTAGAACTTTTATGGCTTTGTGGCATTTCTGTGCCTTGTTTAGTTTGAGAGAGCTGGACCTATGCAGGTGCTCAGAGAATAGAGCTAAACCTCCCCCACTTGCCCCCTTCTCCTCTTGCCATTTGCCCACCGCTCTTTCAGGATTCACACACGCACACACCAGAGAGAAAGTCCAGTCGGGAGTAGCAGAGAGTGCACACACACTCCTACCCCACAGATCCAACATGGGGAAGCACAGAGTCCCAGGGGAGTCTGGGGTTGAGCATTGTGGGAGACCATTTAGTAAGCTACATTCCTGGAGATTAACCCCTCAGTTGATTGTTGCCCCTCAGATTCTCTTCCACCGCCCCCCAAGCTCTTTATGGGGTCTCTGGGCCCAGTTGAGCCCCCAGGACTTCTCACCCCAATGGGCTTATCTTCACTAGACTTGTGGTGAAATACAAATGGCTGCATTTCCCCCTGTGAATTTCAGTATTGAGTCCCGTAGGCTTATGCCAACAACCCCCTCTTTCATGCCCACCACCTCTGTTGATTAGGTTCTGAGAATTATAGGAGCTTCCTGTAAGTGGCTACCGCTGGTCCTGAAACCAGGTGTAAATCAGAAGTGTTTAAATGAGAATTAGAGAAAAAGCGAGAAATATAACTACAAATGTGGCATTCAAAAGTGATTGTTTTACAGGCAGACAGAAATGCCATCGAGTTGAGTGTAAGGCCTACCTTCCCTCAGCCAATAATACATGAGTATCTGACACTTTAATAGTGCTTTCTATTCCAAAGGATCCCAAGGCATTAGACAAACACAGGTCCCAATACTGTAATTGGATCCATGCAAGCAGACTCTTAGACGCATGTGGAGTCTCACTGAAGCGCTCCAACACCCCAATCTTACAAACACATAGGTGAGTAACTCTTGTGAGTAGAATCGTAGGACTGGAAGGGACCTCGAGAGGTCATCTAGGCCAGTCCCTGCACTTGTGGCTGGACTAAATATTAACTGGACTATCCCTGACAGGTGTTTGTCTAACCTGCTCTTAAAAATCTCCAATGACAGAGATTCCACAACCTCCCTGGGCAATTTATTCCAGTGCTTAACCACCCTGACAGTTAGGAAGCTTTCCCTAATGTCCAACCTGAACTGCCCTTGCTGCAAGTTAAGACCACTGCTTCTTATCCTATCCTCAGAGGTTAAGGAGAACAATTTGTCTCCCTCCTCCTTGTAACAACTTTTTATGGACTTGAAAACTGTTATCATGTCCCCCCTCAGTCTTCTCTTCTCCAGACTGAAAAAAACTGGGTTTGTTTAATCTTCCCTCATAGGCCATGTTCTCTAGAACTTGAATCATTTGCGTTGCTCTCCTCTGGACTTTCTCCAATTTGTCCACATCTTTCCTCAAATGTGGTGCCCAGAACTGGACACAATACTCCGGTTGAGGCTTAATCAGCGTGGAGTAGAGCAGAAGAATTACTTCTCATGTCTTGCTTACAATACTCCTGCTCATACATCCAGAAAGATGTTTGCTTTTTTTTGCAACAGTGTTACACTATTGACGCATATTTAGCTTGTGATCTACTATGACCCCCCAATCCCTTTCCTCAGTTCTCCCTCTTAGGCAGTCATTTCCCATTTTGCGTGAGTAGAATTGATTGTTCTTTCCTAAGTGGAGTTCTTTGCATTTGTCCTAATTGAATTTCTTCCTGTTTACTTCAGACCATTTCTTCAGTTTGACCAGATCATTTTGAATTTTAATTCTGTTCTTCAAAGCGCTTGCAACCCCTCCCAGCATACTTTATAAGTGTACGTCCTATGCCATTATCTAAATCAGAGGTTGGCAACCTTTGGCACGCAGCCTGTCAGGGTAAAGCCACTGGTAGGTCGGGCCAGTTTGTTTATCTGGAGGGTCCAGAGGCATGGAGCCCCGCAGCTCCCACTGGCTGCAGTTCGCCATTCCTGGCCAATGGGAGCTGCGGGAAGCGGCACGGGCCGAAGGAAGTGCTAGCCACTGCTTTAGTCAGTGGCTTTATCTTGACTGACCGGATGCCAAAGGTTGCTGACCTCTGATCTAAATCATTGATGAAGATATTGAACAGAACCTGACCCAGAACTGATCCCTACAGGACCCCACTCGTTATGCCTTTCCAGGTTGACTGTGAATCACTGATAACTATTCTCTGGGAATGGTTTTCCAACCAGTTACATACCCATCTTACAGTAGCTCCATCTAGGCTATATTTCCCTAGTTTATGAGACAGTCATAAACTGTCAGACAGTATCAAAACCCTTACTAAACTCAAGATATACCACATCTACCACTTCCCCTCGCCCCAGGCTTGTTACCCTGTCAAAGAAAGCTATTAGGTTGGTTTGACATGATTTGCTCTTGACAAATCCGTGCTAACTGTTACTTATCACATTATTATCTTCTAGGTTTCTTCACATTGATTGCTTAATTATTTGCTCCATTATCTTTCAGGCACTGAAGTTAAGATGACTGATCTGTAATTCCCCAGGTTGTCTTTATTCCCATTTTTATAGATAAGCACTATATTTGCCCTTTTCCCATCCTCTGGAATCTCACCCATCTTCCATGACTTTTTGAAGATAATCGCTAATGGCTCAGATGTCTCCTCAGTCACCTCCTTGAGTATTCTAGGATGTATTTCATCAGGCCCTGGTGATCTGAAAACATCTAACTTGTCTAAGTAATTTTTAACTTGTTCTTTCCATATTTTAGCCTCTGATCCTATCTTCTGTTCACTGGCATTCATTAAGCTAGATGTTCAATTGCTACTAAATTTGTTGGTGAAAATTGAAACAAAAACGTAATTTAGCACTTCTGCCATTTCTACATTTTCTGTTATTGTTTTCCCCCTCTCATTGAGTAATGGGCCTACCCTGTCCTTGGTCTTCCTCTTGCTTGTAATGTATTTGTAGAATGTTTTCTTGTTACTCTTTGTGTCTCTAGCTGGTTTAATCTTCTTTTGTGCCTTGGCCCCATTCAAATCACAGGGACTACCTGTGTGAGTAAAGTGATTTATGAGCTTACGTATTTGAAGAACTGGGCCTTTATTACTTCCTTCACCAATGAAATTCAGCCATCACTGAGGTGGAATGTAAAAGCGTACAGCAGCACTCTCATAAAATTTGTGACAGGAAGGGAAGAAAGCTAGTGTATTTCAATTGAAACCGTTGAGGTAATTTTATTCTACCTTTATAAAATTCCTCATCTGATTTACAGGAACAAGTCTGACCTCCCATGTTATCTTTTTAATATCTTCAAGATGTGAGCGGGAAAGTTATAGACAAAGAAAAACAAAAGAGGGGTCAGGAAAAAGCAAACTAATATATTCCGTTTAATCATCATTAGGTTCAATAGGAGAAAATAGATTAATATCTTTCAGATGTTTTTCTTTAAGCTGTTTATATTTTTCATCTTTGTGTGTTTAGGAAAAATAGTTCTGCTTCTTACTTTTTTACTTCTGCTTTTTAAATAATAATCCCAACAAAGTGATTAGTACAATACAGGATAGATAAAGGGCAAATGTGAACAGGGAAAAAAGAGGTAACTTTTCCACAGGAAGGTTAAAAGAGAAAAAGGCACTTTTGAATAATTAATTTCCATAATTATAACTTGATATCCATTCTTGTCTGTCCTCTAAATGCATTTATTACAACAATTATTTAAATCTGTTTTTCCACTGATATAATTGCCTTTCTTCATTTGTTTCATTTGAACCACATAAAACTAGAATTTATCTCCCTTTATTGTTGCAAATCATATGCTGCAGAAATGCAAAATCAGATAACTCTGAGGTTATAGGCAACATTGCCTATGTTAAATAAATTAAAAGTTTGCCAGTTTGGGAGTGTTGGCCTATTATTTTCCTTATGTTAGATCTTTTTGGATCTGAGTAATTGACAGGGATAATGGGATTTGAGGACTAGGGACGTTTTTTATTGTAAAGAAGCAAAAAAGAAAAACCTTCAAACTCACTTTAAAAACCCTGAGATCATAAAAGTGAAAAATGTGGTGTGAGAGAGATTAATGATCTCTTACTTAGTCATAGCTATGGTGAAGATAATACTTTTGACATGAGATCTAACCCCTTGCCTTTACAGGTCTCCTGGTATCTTTCTTAAAGCACCACTATCCACTGAAAAATTACTCTCTAAATGGCATTGTGAGCTTCCATATTTATTGTCTTTCAGTGACTTCAGGCTCATGTTCTATTTTAAGTTCACAAGTTACAAAAACATCTTTTGTAATTTGTCTGTACTGAAAACTAAACCTGTGAACTGAAGCTTCCGGCTTGTGCACCCTCACCTGTAGTAAAGATTTGTGAAGTCTAAGAACCTTAATTCAGGATTTCCTGTATTTTAAGTGTTTGTGTTTTCTCTGAATGGATTTTAGCAACTATAGCTCTATAGTAACACACTGTTTGTTTTTCCCTAGTCAAATATATTTACATATAGTTTGGGATCTGTTATGGCATGAATCACCAGTTGCTACTGTTACACGTGGGTTTGCAAATGCCTTTTCTTAGCATGTGAGCAGTATGCGGTCTGAACACTGTATTGATGTCAGGTTTCAGAGTAGCAGCCGTGTTAGTCTGTATTTGTGTTAGTTTTGTGACTGACTGGCTGTTTACCACCGCTCTTTTGAGGGAGCTGTGGTAAACCATGAGTTTTTCTGCTTTAATCATTCTCTCTAACTATTCTTACTGCTGAAGAGTGGCTTCCTGGGAATGGGCATTGGTGTTTGGCCTGACATTTCTTAACGAGGGATTGGGATTGCCTGCATGTGGTTAGTGACCTTTGTTCAATGACTGGTGTATATAGTGTAAATAAACAAGTTACACAGAGAAAATACCTTGACTCCACATCATTGATTTCTCCTCCAAGACAAAGCCAACTCCCAAGGTCCCAACCTCCGCTACTGCTCAGCAGAGAGACAACAGATCTAAAATGATATTTGTAATATTATGATCAAATCTGGCATTATTAGGAATCACAAACATAATTTGCTGTAGGGTCTCATTTGTCCCTATTATTTAAATGTTATTCTCTTTGGTATTGCATTTATATCATTTGCAAACAAAACAAAACAGGGCTGTGAAAAGGAATTTGAAGGTGTGCTTGCTCGGAATAAAATAAGGCTTCCTCAGCGTCATGTCTCTTTAGAGGGGGTTGAGAGAAGGGGTCCTGTGAGAAAAGTGTGGGGACTGAACTCAGTAGTTGTTAGAGGTTATTAATGAAGCTAGAGGAGAACAGTGAACTCTTATTCTTCCTGTTTGATAGTAGTTTAAACTGCAGCTATAAAGTATTGTAGGTTACATGAATTTGAGGGTAGTTGCTACCAAGAGCCTTCCCAATTCAAACAGAGAGATTGATATACAAGTCCTACGTAGAACTGAGTTACAGGCACCAGGGAAATGAGGTAAGACCTCTCTTCCCTATGTCCTCAATTTTATTTTACATTTTTAATTGTAATTTAATGTCAGGGTTTGTTGAATTATCAATAAGTTTAGCAATTTTTGTTGTTGTTTTTGCTCAGCTGCTACCAAAATCAGAAGACTCTCTCGTGGTGATCTGTGTACACACACTGTCTTCTTGAATATTTTCACTTCTTTATTGTTTTACTTACAGCTTTTCACCAAATGCCAGTGGATTCAAGTTCCCTTTACCAGTCAGCAGTTTCGGTGCTGCATAACTCATATTTGGATTCCACATCTCGGAATGGCTTTCAGTACAGTCGAGTGACTTTGGTGAATAATGATGTATTTTTAAAGGAGGTATGTTTCGTGGGCGAGGGGTTTAGTTAAAGGTTTTGCAAAGGAGGGAATTTCTTCCGTGTCTTCCAGGGTTCTGTTATGTTCCATTGTTTTTTTTGCCTGTCATTTGTGGCAGATGTTTTGATTCTTTCGTTTCCAGAGTTCAGTTAATTTATACGTCCCATTGTGACCTTTGCCCAATTTACAATTCCTGAATGAGTCGAGCATTTTCTTTCTTTTCTCTTCTTGACCCTTCTGCTCCCTACCCCACTCCTTCCTTTGACTGTGGAATAAAGGCTGCAAAATCTGCAGCTGCAGGGCCTCCTCTTCAAGTCATGGGGGGCCCTCAGGCCCGGTTGAAATGCTAATGCGATGCTTATGCTCAAGGGCTTTTCGCGTGGAGCATGAGCTGCTTCACGCTGACTTGAGCCCCAAGTTAAATCAGGATGTCTCTCCTTTTATCGTGGCCCTGGCTGGGATATGTCAGGTCCTCCATCTACCTGTGACCAGGATAGCTCCCTATGCTCTTCCCTTAACTCCTCTTGCAAACATTCATGTGTAATGCCGACAGACCCCAGTTGTCAGCGGGCGGGATCAAACCAGGGGATCTCTGGAGCTTAGTGCATGAGCTTCTACCGCATGAGCTAAAAGCCAACTGACTTCTTAGCTAAGGCTGTAGAGCAGACTCATTTAACTCTCTCTCTAAGTGGTCTCGGTGCCACTAGATGGGACAGAACCGCACACCCAGGAGGTGTGTGGGTTACACATGCACAAGACTGAACCACATCATGCCCTTTCTACAGCAGGGGTGAAACCATTTTAAAAATATTTATTTAAAGAGGGCTTTCCAGTACCTTCTTCATTTGTATTGTGCTCGAAGCTGTATTCTTTGAAGATTGCAAATGACTCTTCGAGCCCCCAGGAACCAGTGCTTCTGTTGTCATTAACTAAAAATAGAGCTGAAATCGTAGTCAACATGTCACAGGGCAGGGTTCACCTCACCCTGAATTCCTCTCTGCAAGCAGTCCTCATGTATGCCAGTGGCAAGTTCAACACCCAGTGCTTTATTTACAGTAGACAAGTCCTTGTCCCTCCAACAACATAAAACTTTTACATTTCCTCTAGGCAGGGGGGTGGGAGGTGGAGGGGAGGGAAGAGATCTCACCTCCCTGAGATCCTGGGCTTCACTGGCCCTTCCTTCCTGTGTATCCCTCCCTGCTCTTTCCTCTTCCTGTCTCTCTTTTAACGGTCCTCAGCTGAGGAGCTGACTCGCCTTGTTAACTGGTTAAACATCCAGTCCTTAGCCAATTATCTCCTCAATTGGACTTGCATGGGGATGATTGCCAAATCAGCCTTAGGCCACTCTGACTCTTTCACACTGCATTACAGTGGCACAGTTACACTGTAGAGTGTAGAGATTTCCTATATCTGTGGAAGGGGTTTTCCATTGATGTAGGTAATCCAAGGCTCTGAGAGGCCTGCTCTACACCTAAATCTTAGGTCAACCTGGCCACATGGCTCAGGGTTGTGAAAAATTTCTGTTTGCCAGAAGCTGGGAATGAGCGACAGGGGATGGATCACTTGATGATTACCTGTTCTATTCTGGGGCACCTGGCATTGGCCACTGACGGAAGACAGGATACTGGGCTAGATGGACCTTTGGACTGACCCAGTAGGGCCATTCTTATGTTCTTATGCCCTCTGTGAGATAGTTAGATCAACCTAACCCCCACTGTAGACGCAGGTAGGTCGCCGGCAGAATTCTTTTGTCAACCTAATAACGGTTTATTTTTTTAGATTAATATTATTATTTATATTATTGTAGCCCAGGAATCCCAGTCATGGACTCCTAAACTAGAAATCAGTTCATTTGCTATTTAACAATAGTTTAGCAAACATCTACGTTTGTTTTAAAATCCGATCAGACCGTCTTCAATGCTGCAGTCACACTTGGGCGTAAGTACAAAAAACGAAAGTGTGATATTCAGCCTACTGCTTTTCTAACTTGCAGTCTCATCTTAAATCTTTTCTGTCCTCCCACAATTTTTAAGGAGATTTCATAAATCAATTCCATGAGATAAGAAAAGCAATTTGAAAAAATTAGCTCCCTGCCTGCTCACTTAGGCTCTTGTTACATTTTCTGTAGCATGGAGCTCAGTTAAAAGCATCCCATGCTGGAGTTATACAAGTACTAAATTCCTGGAAAAAAGTTTTAAAAGAATCAAACTATAAACCCCCATAACTGCATTTGGCCGGCAGAATGGAATGCCGAGCAAGTCCCTTTGTGCATCTGGACCGAGGTTCTCACAAGCCTTGACAAACACACTCCCCTGCTTTCTAGTGGGGGAGTCAAACTACGCTTTCAAATGAAGTTTTAGCTCATACGCCAGTGAAGAAATCCTTCCAAATGTAAACAGATGAGACAGTGGTAAAAACAACTGTTCCTTTCCTCCTCCTACTGATACCATCAATGGTAGTGCACCCGCAGGAGATTGGGAGAAAATTGCTGAAGTAGGCACAGTCATGCTTGTCTGTCAAAGCCACTGTCTCATAGTTTCACCCTTTCAAAGCACTGTCAGCCTGGAACATCAGGGGCACTTCAACAATCCCCTGGATTTCCCTTCAAACCCTGTGCACACTTCGAGCACTAACAAGTGGGATAGATCAGCTGGCCTGCTGCATGATTCGTCAATGATTGCATGTCCAGGGAGCAAGTCATGAAAGAAATTTTAATACTGGATACAAAACCTTCACATCATTTCTGTAAAGAGGGGCAAGAATGAAGAATTCTTTTTTGTGTGTGGTTTGTTTAGACCCGGTAAATGTTTTAGTTTAAGCAGGTCAGTTTGAATTCTGTCACCATTTTAAATATATTTTATGCCCTAGAAAGGGAGTGTGTTTAGAGCAGAGGACTGGAACCAAAACTCCTAGGCTATACAGAATTCCAACTTCCCTGTGCATCGGTTTCCCCTTCCGTGAAATGGATATAACATATGCCGACATCACATGGAAGTTGCGAGGGTAAAAAGTGTACTGCTGCAATTCTTTTAATAATAATAAAAATGGCCTCAAGCAATTAACAGACTATGGTGAACAGATGAACAAATAATACAAATACACTGCTGCTGGGTCTTGCTCACATGCTCAGCGTCTAACTGATCATCATATTTGGGGTTGGGAAGGAATTTTCCCCTAGGTCAGATTGGCAGAAACCGAGGGGGCTTTTTGCCTTCCTCTGCAGCATGGGGCTCGGGTCACTTGCAGGTTTAAACTAGTGTAAATGGTGGATTCTCTTTAACTTTATGTCTTTAAATCATGATTTGATGACTTCAGTAACTCAGCCAGAGGTTATGGGTCTATTAAAGGGATGGTGGGAAAAGTTCTGTGGCCTTCAGTGTGCAAGAACAGGAGGTCAGACTAGATGATCATGATGGGCCCTTCTGGCTTTAAAGTCTATGATTCTATAAATACTTGTGTTGAAAGGCTTTTTAGGCATTCCATGATCCGTGTTTCTCCTGCACCAGCAGTTGTTTATCTTACTAGCATCTAAACAGTGCAGGTAGATGTTTCCTTAGGTTGCTTTGGGAGTTAGTAAGGTCACTGATATTTATAGGGAAATCACAGACCCTGAACTTGGGTCTTGCCACATAAATAAAGGAGGAACTAATTATTAACTACCATATTTTGATTTATAAAATATAATTATTAATACATATTAAGTATGTATGTATTCAAGACCGTAAGACCTTAAATGCTTTTTGAAATGAAGAAAAAAGCATTTTAGTTACCTTTAGTTAATGTTTGTAGAGCACTTTAAGATCTTTAAATGAAGTGTGCTATATAACTGCATAATAATCCCTGTATCACAATATTAATGTGGGTCTAGTACTTGGAATATATAAAAGAAGCAGCCTTTTTGTGTCTTCTGCAGTACAAAACTTTTACCCAGGAAAAGGAAGCGAGTGGCTATACCAAGGAGGAACTTGATGAGACCTATGCATTTCTTCTGTTTGATAGTGAAAGCGAGGTAAAGTGGAAAAGTTGTTCAGCATAAGATATTGAGATGCTGCATCTTTGAATACTTTCATTTTCAATGAGGCTCCTCCCCAAGGAAGTCCATCAGAATTATTCTTAAATGGTTTAGTTTCTCTTTGTAATCTGCACTGCCTCTTCATTGTGATCATTGCTG